CGCGACACCTGTTGAGGATCTGGCTGAGCTCTTCTGCCGATCCGCCCCCACACGATCCACTTTACGATATAAAATATGCCCGCTTTTTTAAAATCTAAAACATGGCAGCAGCAGTTGCGCCAATGTTTTGGGTGAGAATTGGGTTTTCGTGGGAGGTCTGGGTGCGGTTTAGGTACCCTGCGACGTCCAGTGACAAGCAGAACAATTGAACACTCTTCCACGAGATGGCGGAAGGGACAATTACGCCATGTTTCCACCTGAGGCCAAACAACTGAACTAGCTTTCTGTTCAATTCAACAGACCTCGATTTCACACAGAAAAGAAAAATAAATAAATAAATAAATAAACAAATAAGTGGGTGCCTAAATTGTGCCCAAAGCATCACAAAAGCCGACGGTAAGTCAGGCAAGCGGTGCTGCTTCTCGGCACGTTGCCAGGCAACAGCTGCAGTTCCAAACTCATTCGAATATACGGTCCCGATGGGGAAGGTCAGAGAGAAAACTGCCTCTTGAGTAGTTTTACATCTCGACTTTTGCATGATGTCGGATTAAAAGAGCGTGAGAACGACTGCTCTCGCTCCCACCGTTGATAAGTGATCGTTTATTGCTTTACATTCCATAAAGTCGGCGTGCCGTTGACGCTATCGGCGCCGTCCTTTTAATAGGTTTATAAGCACGTTATCTGAATAGCCTTTCGTTGTTGTGAATTTGCTCCACTCTTCTCGGACGGCATGTCACCAATTAAGCGCTTGATGGCGTGTTCAACCAAATAAATAAACCTCAAAATTGACGCTTCAAGCCATATGAGGATCTTTTGACATATTTTTTTCATATGGGACAAGTAGGTGTTCAGTAATCTAAAAACACCTTTGTACTAACAAAAGCCTCGATATTCTTCTGGCAACAAAAAGCCGACATGGAAACATGTTTTCATTTGAAAGTGGGAGCGAGGTGCGCCCCAATTAAGCGCCGGGCGTGTCATTCACAAGTAATAAATAAACACCGCACCTCAAATAGATGCGATTGCCAACCATGCCTGCATGCAAAACTGTAATTTTCAGCTATCCTTTGGCAACATGGAGGTTCATACGCCACCAAGAACCTGCCGGAGGCCAATCATCCGGTATGAGGAACGAAGGGACGGACGGCGGCACGTCTGAAAGCGCCGCGTATCGGTTCACCGGCTAACATTGCGCAACACGAGGGCCTGCGGAATTAAAGCTTTATCTGGATTACCACTAAATATAGACGCTTGGAATAAATCCAGTGCAAAGTCAATGCTGTGTATGTTCCGTGCCCTCCCCCAGGCCCCCCCCCGTGTTTGTTTCCGCGTGTCATCAGCTCAATATGAAAACGAGGGTGGCGGCGGTGTTTGAGCCAAAGTCCTGCTCTCCATCTCTGCGACGAGATTCCTGGGATTGGAACATCTTTTTTACGCTCTGTAATTTAAACGCGGCGGGGGGGGGGGGGGGGGGGGGGGGGGGGACGGACAGAAGCGAAGATTAAATGCACAATTTTAAGGTTGAGCTGCTTGATGGCATCATTCAAGGAAAATCCCACGTTATGTAAAAGCTTCCGGGTGAACCGCGGGGTTTCGATTTTGGGCTTCGCGGTTGGGTGCAAACATGAAAATACCTTTGAATGCGGACAACTTCTGCAGCTCCCGGTTGTTGCTCAAGCTAAAGCGAGAAGAACTCTGCCGCTTATCCTTCTTGACGGGAGTCTGCGAGCCCGGCTGCTTGCCCTTGAGCAACTGGGTGGTCGGCGGCACGCTGTTGCCGGTCTTCCTGTTGGAGCCCTGCTGAGAGGAGAAGAGAGAGAAAAAAAAAACATTAATTCAAGGAATAACCTTTCATCGGACTGTGCCAGAGATGTGGCAAATATAAACAAAAGCAGGTCAGAGTTCTGATTAAGGAGAAGGAAAAAAAAAATTGTGTTCTGACATTACATAACTATTAAATTGGCACTTTGGTTCACATCACAGGAGATTTAAAAATACGGCACGTTTCTTCGCCAAGGTGCTCTATCCAAGACGTAAAGGGAAGTAAAGAGAAAAACATTCTTATTCGCAAATCTGTCCGGGCCAGCTGTGGTGCCGGCAGACAGATGCGGCTTCTCCTCTCCAATGTTGCAGGTTTCTCACAGCTGTGAGCCCCCACCTTCATCAACCCCCCCCCCCCCCTCGACTCAGTTGCACACGGCGCTGACTTCAGCGAAATGCAGCTGTGAAAGTGTGTCATTCACACAGTCACGGGGCAAGGGGGGGGGGGATTCCATCACATCGTTGGCCACACTGTGCTACCAACGTTCACAAGACGGCGGCGAAAGCCGCAAGCACAGTACTGTATGTCCTGTTAAGTTGGGGTGTCATGAGACTAAGAAAAATGGAAGCCTTGTAGATTGTGCTTTTTTTCTTTTCCCGGGGGTCGACAAGCTAAGTTGCATGATTACCAAGCAATGGAGCACACTCATGAGATTTCAGCTCAGTGAGTGTCTAACTCCACAAGGTGTTTCACCCCACCCACCTTTCTTTTCATATCATGACAAGCAGAAATATACTGTGTAGTTTTAATTGTTAAAACCTAAGATACTGGCAGGTATGTTGCTGGTTCATAAAAGGTGAAAACGACCAATTACTACTTCCCTGTTCGCCAATTTATTCCATTTTGGACTCGGTAATACACATACATATGTAAAACCCCACATGAGAAAATGATCTGTGGAAATTTGTGAAGAAAATCACCACGCTCAAGGAAGAACAACCAATCAGAAACAAAAGGCATGACTCATGAGGTGGCAGTCAGAATTTGCCGGGAACTACCAGGCATACCCCTCCAGCCTTGCGCTGACCTGTAACTTTGAACTCTAGTACTGAAGCTTTGCTGAAAATATGGAACACTATAAGGAATACACAGATCCGTCAAAATTAAGAAAATGCTCATCCCTGCAGTAACCCTTCATTTCGAATGAGTCGTGCTACCAACGGAGTAGCGGCCGGTGACTTTTATGCTAACAAACAATGTAAAACGCTAGTGACAGGCTAAGGTTTGCTATGTTCAGCCTTTTTCAGCCATTATGCGGTGGCCCTTTCAGAATCAGCACTGCTCCTGTATATGCAAATATAATATGATAAATAGCATCATTTCACAATGTGAAAATACATTTTTTGCTGTATTAGTTAAGCTCTTAAATCTGTGTAGAATTTTTTTCATTGTAAAATCTAACTGAATATTAAATATTCGACATTCTCTGGGCTTTTTATCTTATTCAAGCCATTCCTCATGGAAGGATGCAACCTGACACAAAAAATATGCACAGCATGGTAAGAACATCAATGATGATTTCATTTGAATGGATAAAACAAAAACATAAATATTGAATATTTTAAAAAGCAATAACATATATTTAATTGCATTGATTTATGAAATTTGTACTGGCCCAAAAGGACCACTGTCAGTGAAGTTCGCGTGGCCTGACACAATGAGACAGTGGCCCTTTACAATCGTTCATGTTGACCCCTGCATGATTCCTCAAGAAAAAATATGAATATATTTGTGGGGCCATATCTAAAGGTAACACTCCATCACGATATTATTAAACTGAAGATTCAATGCAATTGTTATGCTTTAACTTCGGCTGCCCCCAAAGGTTGGGAGGGCTTTTACAAGACGTTTTGACCCCCCCCCCTCCCCAAACAACACAAACACTAAATGAAATTCTGCCAAAATATGAGGAGTATAATAAAACTTATATGTCCCACAGTTAGCCTCGACAGCTCGCCTACCTCATGTTGTGAATTCTCCTGCCCTCCTCCACTCTTGCCGACTTTGCCAGATTTAGACGAATCCTGAAAGAAAGAAAAACATTTCTCAATTGAGAACCAAAAAAAAAGCCAACAATAAGCAAACCACTCAAAATCCCAACTCGCATGTTTGACAAGTAAGCTAACGGTACTTCAGCAGAAATGAGAGAGAAACCATGACGAAAATCAGTGTCGCGCCATTCAGAGGCAAGCGAGTGGGTTGAAACGATGCTATTTGACGTGTGGATGCGGGAGTTTAGGTGAAATAGTGCAGCGTAAAACCTATGCAGGACTGCGGGGAGCTGAGAGCTAGCTGGTTTAGCAATTTATGAGGAGTGGTAGGGGGTGGTGCACTCATAGCTTCATATTCTCTGCTAAGACGGTTTTACCCCCTCATTAGGGGCGCGTCCACGAGCTCGAGTAGTGGAAAAATGGTCCAAAAAGCTACGCTGGCGTGAGTTTCCCTGCAACTCACCTTTTCTTTTTTCGTTTTGTTCGGCATTGTCCAAACGTCGCCGCCCTAGCTCCCCTCTTGAATCCTCCACTGGCGAAACCACAGCAACTCTCTCCTTGTGGCCCGTCGCACACTGCGAGGCGGTTCATCCTGTCCTCAACATCCGATTGGTTCCCGGTAGTCAGCTGACCCACTTACGCGAAAAATGACGTCTTCCAACTGCGGAAGGAGAAAAGGCGCCCCCAGCCGGCCACTATCGCGAGAGGTGTGGTCGCGACCGGCGAGGGGAATCTCGCGGTGACGTCGTTTTTATGGAATGGAGAGCAAAACGAAGTGTTATTTGTTGTACTGTATACAAACACAACACCGCTACAATTCAGTATCGTCAGTGTCAGTTTAGAAGAACTAAGTGTCCCACTGTATTGCACCCCGACCTAAATATAACTTGCTGTCTTGCGCTGGCATGTTTGCCACAAATGTTAACTCTTATAAATTGGTCCAATATAACTTCTCGTTTTAGCCCCAAAACATCTCTGACAAGTTTCCATTGGACCATATGTGCTTACTTGAAGCAGAGCAGCTGAGGAAAAAAAATAGATATACAAATAAAGACGAATTTATGTATTACGATTTAGGTTGGAAATGCAGGTCGATGCTTCTATTAGCATTTGTGCCAGCCAAGAATAACTTGTTGGGCCCAAGACCCACAGCTCCCATTTCCAGAGTTCCATTCAGTAAACCAGACTTTTTCATTATGTTCAACTTTATTCGAGGCTCCCACCACTTTTTACAGCTTCACTTAGCTTGCACTGCATTTACAGTTCAAGTCAAACATATGGAATGCTTCAACATCAATAAAATAGAAAAACAAATACAAAAAGTGGCGAGTTTCAAAAATCAGAATTGCAACAGCATTGGAGGGGGGGGGGGATTCCAAAGGGAGAAGTTAAGGGGGTGTTCCAGTATTGACAGTGCGCTCGGATAACTTTAATGAGACGTAACCGTGGGGTGTGGGGAGCAGTTTTAGTCCACTTCCTCCATCCTGGATGTGTCGTCGTCACCTTCCAGTGGGGGCATTTCCTCAACGGGGCCGGTGGTGTCATCTAGAGTCGGCTCATCTTCGTCGATGCCTAGAAAGACCATCGGGAATTGTAAATTTGCATAAAAATAAATGCTAGTGGCTCAGTAGGATAAGAGCTTGTTCAACTACTCACCAAGACCAAGCTTGATCATCCTGTAGATGCGATTCGAGTGCGTCTGCGGGTCGTCCAGCGTGAATCCCGAGGACAGCAGTGCCGTCTCGAACAGCAGGATGACCAAATCCTTCACAGACTTGTCGTTCTTGTCCGCTTCTGCCTTCTGCCGCAGCGTCCCCATGATGGGGTGCTCAGGGTTGATCTCGAGGTGCTTCTTGGCTGCCATGTAGCCCATGGTGGAGTTGTCTCTGAGGGCCTGGGCCTTCATGATCCTCTCCATGTTTGCCGTCCAGCCGTATGTGCTGGTCACAATGCAGCAGGGGGATGTTACCAGGCGATTGGAGATTGTGACCTGTGGAGGAAATCCATTTGGATGTATCAAATTCTTGACTTCACCCAGGTTTGTGGAATTCTCAGCCAGCGCAAGCATGGACAAAGAACTTGTGACAGGTATGGTGCATTTATGCATTATGGCCATAGTGCGACTCGTCGTTCATATATGTCACTGTAAGTCATGCTTTTTTTTAAAAAAATTTTTGATGCTCATTTTATATTATAGGCTTTTATTTCCTGTTTTTTGTTGGATAAATAGAACTCTTATCCCAGGGCTGATACTGACACATGTTTTTAGAACCGCTTGACAAGAAACACAGAGTAAAGAAGTTGCTCTTCTGCAGTCAATTTGGAATCCAGTTTTTTTTTTTAATGTGCTTACCTTCTCTACTTTCTTCTCCAAGATGTCTTTCATGATCTTGCACAGGTTTTCAAACTGAGCCTTTTTCTCCTCCTGCTTCTTCTTCTCATCCTCATCCTCGGGTAGCTCAAGGCCTTCCTTGGTGACCGAGACCAGGTTCTTGCCCTCAAACTCCTTCAGCTGTTGGACGCAGTACTCGTCGATGGGCTCGATCATGTAGATGACCTCCAAGCCGGCCTTGCGGAGGCGCTCCACAAAGGCCGAGTTGGCCACCTGGTCTTTGGTCTCGCCTGACAGGCAGACGTTTCCGTAACTACGACGGTTTCAACTGCTTCAACTCAAGATACGGAGATGAGCGACATGCTCACCTGTGATGTAGTAGATATGTTTCTGGTTGTCCTTCATCCGCGTCACATAGTCCTTCAGAGAAACCATCTCCTCTCCGGAAGCGGAAGTGTAGTATCGTAGCAGCTCGGACAGCTTCTTCCTGTTCTGGGAATCTTCGTGGATGCCGAGCTAAAAATATAAATGTGTGTCAGTAAACAAAGTCTTGAGTCCTCGAAGGATGTGGACTTTGTCATCAACCCACTTTGATGTTCTTTGAGAACTGCTCATAGCACTTCTTGTAGTTGTCTTTATCTTCAGCGAGCTCTGTGAAGAGTTCCAGGCACTTCTTGACCAGGTTCTTGCGGATGACCTTGAGGATCTTGCTCTGCTGCAGCATCTCTCTGGAGATGTTCAGGGGCAGATCCTCAGAGTCCACCACGCCCTTGATGAAGTCTGAGCAAGAGGAAGAGAGTCAGCGATTTGTTTTGGGAAGCGAAACATGCTCTGTGGCAAGTCTGTACTCACTGAGGTACTCTGGGATGAGCTCATCGCAGTTATCCATGATGAAGACTCTGCGCACGTACAGCTTGATATTGTTCTTCTTCTTCTTGTTCTCAAAGAGGTCAAATGGCGCGCGGCGAGGCACAAACAACAGGGCGCGGAACTCCAGCTGACCCTCCACTGAGAAGTGCTGCCAAAAATAAGCGCATTGATATTATTTGGGGGGGAGGGCGGGGCAGTAATAGCACTTACAAGACCGGAATTTAAAATGTAAATATTATTCTTAAGTATCTCTGCTTTTCCTCTTTAGTACAGAGCGGCAGTAATTTTTCCACCCGAGACCAACCTTGACAGCCAAGTGCTCCTCCCAGTCATTCGTAAGGCTCTTGTAGAACTCGCCGTACTCCTCGTTGGTGATATCGTCGGCACTGCGCGTCCACAGAGGCTTGGTTTTGTTCAGCTCCTCCTGGTCAATGTACTTCTCCTTGATCTTCTTCTTCTTTTTCTTGTCTGAGGACTTGTCGTGCTCTTCGTCGTCCTCGCCGATGTCCTCCACCTCGGGCTGGTCGTCGTCTTGCTCTTCCTCATCCTTGTCTTTGTCCTTCTCTTTCTCCTTCTCCTCGCCTTCTTCCTCTGCCTCGTCGTCACTCACCTCCTTGTCTCGCTCCTTCTCAACCTGAAGGAACACAATTTCCTCGTCACTTGTGAGTTTGATATTTAAAAGAACAGTCATTCCGAGTCAGACATAGGGGAGGTGTGCATCATCCATACTATGCTACCACTGAAAGGAAAAGAACATGGTGAAATGAAATGACATTACTTTTACTCCTTTAGCATTTAATTTTCTGATTATTTTTTTTAGCTTGGGATAATGAATAAATGTCACAACAATAAATTAACAAACACATTTTAATTGAGATGAACCAATTGTCCCCTTTCACTTACATAGAGCGTGATGGGGTAGCCGATAAACTGCGAGTGCTTCTTCACAATCTCTTTGACCCTCCGCTCCTCAACGTATTCCATCTGGTCATCCTTCAGGTGCAAAATAACCTTGGTTCCACGACCAATCGGTTCATTAGCTGATGGGCAAGAAGTGTCAACTCAGGTTACAGATAACGCTCTTCGCGTAGCAAAACTGTGTGCTAAGCTAACGGTGTGTACTCACTCTTGTCCACCATGACGGTGAACGAGCCCCCGGCCGCGGACTCCCACACGTACTGCTCGTCGTCATTGTGCTTGGTGACAACCGTCACCTTGTCGGCCACCAGGTAGGCCGAGTAGAAGCCCACGCCGAACTGACCGATCATGGAGATGTCGGCTCCGGCCTGCAGGGCTTCCATGAATGCCTTGGTGCCCGACTTGGCAATGGTGCCCAGGTTGTTAATCAGGTCGGCTTTGGTCATGCCGATACCCGTATCGACCAGGGTGAGGGTGCGAGCGTGCAGGTCGGGCCGGACTTCGATCTTCAGGTCTTTGCAGGAGTCCAGTCGGCTGGGGTCGGTCAAGCTCTCATAGCGGATTTTATCCAACACAAGTGGCTGGGAATCACATGACTATAGACACAGCTATGACATTGACGACGACCATTATTTCGCAACTTACATCCGAGGAGTTGGAGATGAGCTCCCTGAGGAAGATCTCCTTGTTGGAATAGAAGGTGTTGATGATCAGGGACATCAGCTGAGCAATCTCAGCCTGGAAGGCAAAGGTCTCCGTCTCCTCCATTGGATGATCCTCAGGCATCTTTAAGCACAAAGAGATGTATGAACATTAAAATAAGCAGTCATCATTATCATTACCCATCCGTTTTCAACCGCGCTTGACCCGATTTGAATTGGGTCAGCTCACAAGCCGGACTGTCGCATTTTTTTTTTTTTTTAATGACAAATTAATGAACTAAACTTCAGCAGCTTTGTAATGGCTAGTGACATAAACAGAGGAGAGTGTGGGCAAAGCAGGTAGTTCAACAGACTGCCTTAACCCGCCTTTAATCCACCTTTGGGCCTTGAAGCTAAAATCCCATCACAATCTGCTCTGAGGACGCTTTGGGCTTAAGCGTTTTATTCTATAGTGCAGCTTCTGCATTCATAACACGGGGCGGGGCTCCTGTGGCGTTCCGGTCCTATGAATGACGTTCCGGTCCTATGATGACATAAACCCTAATTTACACTGAAGTCAGAACGTACTTTGTATCAATAACACAGGAATGAAGTCATAACCACAGAAACTATTTTACTGCGCAAAACACAAATAGGTAATAAATAACCATATTTTTATCATATTAAAATATATTTGCTAGTTTTCTTTCTCTCACATTGTTGAAATATATTTGCAATTTTTCTTTTTCAATGATTTTTTTTTTTGTGGCTCCCTTAAGTTCACTGTGCATCCCGCTGATGTGCACTGCTTATACTAACATGGCTGAAAACAGAGGAACTAGATATCCACATGCTGCAAATATTTTGACTTGCCTCACCCACACAACTCGACATTAGAAATGACCGCAACAGACGTCAGCATTGGCCGAGCCAAACAGTTGGAAGGATTGTGCTTGCAAATGTTTTGACACAATTCACATTCTCCTAAGAAGCAGCATTTATTGTCATGTCATTATAATACTTTAATGGACGCTAAGTGATAATACTGAGGAAGAAAACGTTTTTTTTTTGTATCTGAGGTGATGCAAAGCACATCCGTTTTAGTTCAAAGTTCATATCGCCCAGCCTCAAGCGTTAACTCGGCGTGGATTCTTCGTACACGTCGTACTGTTCGTAAAAAAATGACGTAAACCGAGGACTCCTGTCATATTTGGCAAGCGGTTGAGTTGCATGGCGTAATGGCTCTGCGACGCCCTCTAGCGAATCCACCGGGAAACTGCAAGTTTCCAGAAGGTACTCTGCAGTTTCTATTGGAATCTCAATAGAGCAATGGGTTAATTCCTCACAGTATGTTAAAACGTCTCTTTGACTCCTTCTCGTGTGTATAAAAATGTTAAAACATTGTTTGGCATCTTGCTTTCCACCCATTACACGTAAACTTAGTCTGGCAAGTGCACCACCACCGTGGGCCCATGTGTTCGTCTTTCGCGAGAAACTATGAAAGAAAAAAATGAGGATATCGTTATCACATCTAAATAAGACACAACGGAAGGATTAAAATCAATCGTTGAACACCCTATTTACTGCGAATAATACTGTATCACACGACCGTGTGGATACTAGCTTCAATGGAATTCGCACCACCAAAGGATGGAATTGGGATTATTCATACAATTAAACATATTCACATCATTTTTTCAAATATTTTAACCAAACATGTTTCGAGAACACAAGTAGTTGTCACGCGACACACTAACAATACCTTAACACGAGGTCAATCCGTATAACGACAGCGACGATAACGATTTACTAAGCAGGATTTGAAGGGGCTCATTCCCTTACCTTGGTCCTCGGTGTTTTGGGAGAGTAAACTCCGACGTTAAAGTGCTCAGACGAGTATGACAAGCGAAGACTACAGATCTCGTCTATATAGCCCTTCTTCAAAAGGCGTTCGAGAAGTGTCGAATTGAGCTCAGAGCTTCTGGAACTCTCTGGAATCTTCCTCGTTGCAGCCGGTAAAACATCGAGCGCTGGTTGGCCCAAATGGGCTGTCAGTCAGGAAAACGGGGTGGGAGCTATTGAAGCCAAACGTCATAAGGGGCGGAACACAAAAAAATAAATAAATAAAAACATGTGGCGTTCACGGAACGTTCCAGAACATTGGAAAAACTTACGGAATCTCACTTTGTGACGCAATTAACTTGACGAAATAAAAAGTAAAAGTGATACATACAACACAAAGGGCAAGGGAAGAATTTCACTTGTATTTCTCAGTTGATTTTATTACAAATACGAATGCTTTCATTAAAAAAGAAGTTACAAAAGACACAGGCTACATATTTCCAGTGACTTAATATTTTCCTTTGAGGTTTAAACAGTAGACTCCAAAAGAAAAATGAATACATTGTTCCAAGCAATTATATTTTCTTTGTTGAGATAAGAACGGCGCTCCGTGATTATTATGTCTGCCTCCCAGTATGCGAATATGAGTGTTTCATCGTTTGTTTATATGTTCCTTGTGATTGGCTGGGAACTAGTCGTGGGTGCATAGCACCCAAGAAAGAAGCATCTCAAATAGGCAGGAGAGTGGCCCTTGAGGACTGGAGCTTGACACTTGCGGTGTGTAGGATGGGATAGGACCCAGGTCACCTATGACTCTTATGAGAATAAGTGGTACAGAAAATGAATGGATGGATGAGCTGTAAACATCCATTCATCCATTTTCTATAACTTAGCCACCAGCTAAACGTAGGCCACAGAAAGACTGAGATTAATTCAGACCTATTTTGACATAAGTGGGAAATGACCCGATGTCTGAACGGACGCGAGTGGACCGCTACATCATCAATGAATTGTATTATCTGTAAATAACAAAAATAGAATTGGTTGGAATTAGTCAAAATAAAAATATGTTTTGTGTAGTTTCACAGAAGCAGCTGAGGTTCGATTGTGACAACGCCATGGGCGCCTTTTTTTTTTTTTTTAACATTGTTATGACAAAAAGTGACTGTTCGAAACAAATGACTCAAATAAGTTACACCGTGTAAAATTATGAAAGCAGATGTGTTCAGTCGACTTCCTCCATTCTTGACGTGTCGTCATCGCCCTCCAGGACTGGCATGTCTTCTTCAGTGGGCTGAATGAGGTCCTCAACTGCTGAGTCATCTTCGTCGATGCCTGACAATTATACATTCATGTGAACGCCTTGGCTCTCTTCACAATTACTTGAGGATAAAGTCGACTAAAATAAGATAAGATCAGACAAACGAATGGAGAATCACTCACCGAGACCAAGCTTGATCATCCTGTAGATGCGGTTGGCATGCGTCTGGGGGTCCTCCAGCGTGAATCCCGAGGACAGCAGTGCCGTCTCGAACAGAAGGATGACCAGGTCCTTCACCGCCTTGTCATTCTTGTCCGCCTCTGCTTTCACCCTCAAGGTCTCCACAATGGGATGCAGGGGGTTGATCTCGAGGTGCTTCTTGGCGGTCATGTAGCCCATGGTGGAGTTGTCCCTCAGGGCTTGCGACTTCATGATCCTCTCCATGTTGGCCGTCCAGCCGTACGTGCTGGTGACGATGCAGCAGGGCGACGAGACCAGGCGGTTGGAGACCGTCACCTTGAAAGAATGCCGCATTTGGTTAACGCCGCGGCAAAGACGCAAGGATAGACAGTCAGTGTCTCCTGCACGCAAACCTTTTCAATCTTCTTGTCCAGGATGTCCTTCATGATTTTGCAAAGGTTCTCAAACTTAGTCTTGAGTTCCTCCTGCTTCTTTTTGTCATCCTCATCCTCGGGTAGCTCAAGGCCTTCCTTGGTGACCGAGACCAGGTTCTTTCCATCGTACTCCTTCAGCTGCTGGACGCAGTACTCGTCGATGGGCTCGATCATGTAGATGACCTCCAAGCCGGCCTTGCGGAGGCGCTCCACAAAGGCCGAGTTGGCCACCTGGTCTTTGGTCTCACCTGTTTCAGAAGTCAGGTGGTAATATGCTTTACATGCTAAATAGATATGCAAATGGGGCGAAAGTCGGGATGACAACAGGATGATGACAAACCTGTAATATAGTAGATGTGCTTCTGGTTGTCCTTCATGCGTGAAACATAGTCCTTCAGAGAAACCATCTCATCTCCAGAAGCGGAAGTGTAGTATCTCAGCATCTCTGACAGTTTCTTCCTGTTCTGGGAATCCTCGTGAATGCCGAGCTAAAACACAAATGTGGCTTCATAACGTCGGCGGTAGGATTCTTTGAGGGATGTTAACTTTTGAGATCAATCTACCTTGATGTTCTTTGAGAACTGCTCATAGCACTTCTTGTAGTTATCCTTGTCTTCCGCAAGCTCGGAGAAGAGTTCCAGGCACTTCTTGACCAGGTTCTTGCGGATGACCTTGAGGATCTTGCTCTGCTGCAGCATCTCTCTGGAGATGTTCAGGGGCAGATCCTCAGAGTCCACCACGCCCTTGATGAAGTCTGAGAAGAAACAAAGGAAGCCAAACTGGTCAGTTGTGAAAGAGTTGGCAAAAAATACCTAAATGGGGATCCTTTAGAATGAGATACTTACTGAGATACTCTGGAATCAGTTCCTCACAGTTGTCCATGATGAAGACCCTGCGCACATACAGCTTGATGTTGTTCCTCTTCTTCTTGTTCTCAAAGAGGTCAAACGCAGCTCGTCTGGGTACAAACAGCAGTGCCCGGAACTCCAACTGTCCCTCCACGGAGAAATGCTGCAGACCCGACGAAAAGAAGCCACATGCTTGGATGGATCCTGTTGCGGCAAGTTCATCGACAAAGAGCTGCGGCATTCATTTACCTTGACGGCCAGGTGGTCCTCCCAGTCGTTGGTGAGACTCTTGTAGAACTCGCCGTACTCTTCGTTGGTGATGTCGTCAGGATTACGGGTCCAGATGGGCTTCGTCTTGTTCAGCTCCTCCTGGTCCATGTACTTTTCTTTCACCTTCTTCTTCCTCTTATTCTTGCTCTCCTTGGTGTCCTCGTCCTCATCGGAGCCGACGTCCTCGATCTCTGGTTTGTCCTTGCTCTCCGCAGCAGCGTCTTTGTCCGCATCCTCTTCCTTCTCTCCTGCCTCCAGATCAACCTCCTTCTCTCTCGTCTTCTCCACCTTGAGAATAACAGACGGAATTTAAATGGGATTTTCTTCAGTTCCATTGCGGGAAAATAAAATATCTTGAACACACTCCCTTACGTAAAGTGTGATCGGGTATCCGATGAACTGAGAGTGCTTCTTCACAACTTCCTTGATGCGCTTCTCCTCGCAGTATTCTGTCTGATCTTCTTTGAGGTGCAGGATCACTCGTGTGCCTCTGCCAATTGACTCCCCTGAAAGTCAGCGATAAAGAGATCATCAACGGGTGGTGAATAATCTCAAGAACTGGAGTGATAAAGTCCATCCGTTTTCGAAAGAACCGCACTAATAAATGCTAACCACTGGGCCAGTGCGTTGAGAAAATAGAAATAACGAGTGAAATTTACCAGTGTCAGGACGGACAGTGAATGAGCCCCCGGCCGCGGACTCCCAAATGTACTGCTCGTCGTCGTTGTGCTTGGTGATGACCGTCACTTTCTCAGCCACCAGGTAGGCCGAGTAGAAGCCCACGCCGAACTGACCGATCATGGAGATGTCGGCTCCGGCCTGCAGGGCTTCCATGAACGCCTTGGTGCCCGACTTGGCAATGGTGCCCAGGTTGTTGATCAGGTCCGCCTTGGTCATGCCGATACCCGTATCGACCAGGGTGAGGGTGCGAGCGTGCAGGTCGGGCCGGACTTCGATCTTCAGGTCTTTGCAGGAGTCCAGTCGGCTGGGGTCGGTCAAGCTCTCATAGCGGATTTTATCCAAAGCCTGTCGGAGGGAATCTCATTTGTACTCAGCAGCGCTATTTATTTTCCGCCTCAGGCGTAAAAGTAAAAAAAATCAAGGTTCAGCATGTACCTTGGATTTAAGATCACAGTTGGGTTCACGTTGGGTGCAATAAGGTGATAAAACTTACATCAGAGGAGTTGGAGATGAGCTCCCTGAGGAAGATCTCCTTGTTGGAATAAAAGGTGTTGATGATCAGTGACATCAGCTGAGCAATTTCAGCCTGGAAAGCAAAGGTCTCCGTCTCCTCCTCCATGGCATTTGCGGCGTTCTCGGGCATCTGGCAGAGAAAATAAACCCAATTCATCATCGATTCATCCATCAAACGCCTTTCGGAATTGGAGGAACGGGTGAGTTGGAGCCTATCCCAGATGACCTTGGGGCACCGGGTAGGATACAGAGAGGGTCGGTCGGCTGATCGCAGAGCATGTAGCTAGGCAGGCACTGTGGAGAATTTGAGCATTTAGCAAGTTTTAAGAATGTGGGTGAAAACCCGGAGAAAACCAGACAAACACATGGAGAACATCCAAGCTCCACACTGAGCCAGGATTCAACCCTGAACCCCAGAACTGCGAGACGGACGTGCTAACAGTGAGGCTACTGTGCCGCCCTTCCAAACCAAACTCCAAATATCTAAAAATCAGAGTCCAAGTTTTGGTGATAAAAGAGCACCACGTGGTTTCAGGGAGTTGTGGGGCGGGGCTTAGCAGCTGCTTCTGGTGCGCCAGCACATGTTCCTCCTGTCAATCAAACACCTTTGACCATCCCCCTCCCAATGGGTTACCTAACAGCCCAATGTTAAACGAAGCCGATTTAAGATAAAATGCGAGTCTTTTTCAGCAAAGAGTTGTTGTGATAGCACACACGTGCGTCAAATCATCTCCTGCTCTTAGTTCCTGCGACTCTGGTGTTTGCCATTGCACTCACGCTCAGGGTCACCCTCCACGCCATGTGCTCAGCCCATGCTTCGGTGTCGTTAAGATACTCGTGGCACACCGCTCCGTCCGAATAGACCATAACTCGTCACCATGGAATATTGTTGTCTGAGTATTGCCGCAATCCGGCCGCGCATTTTTGTTGATAAATTCCTTCATAAAATATTCAGAAATTACCACAACGTGT